CAAACACCCAAACACGCACATACACAGACCTACACACACACATACACACACACATACACAGACAGACACACACACACATACACACACACACACACACACACACACACACACTCACACACACACACTATCTCCTCACCAAGAGAAATAAAAGGAAACTCACAACAATGAACACAACTCGCTCCTCATTTCTCTTCTGTTCCTGTGATGAAGTACCCTGACCAAAAGCAACTTAGAGGAGGGAAGGTTTGTGTCATTGCAGGGGAGTCACAGAGGTGGGAGCTTGAGACAGCCAGTCACATCACATTGTGGCCACATCTAAGGCCAGGGAAAAACAAGCATGCCCATGTGGACAGCCTACTGCTATTCAACCAGCTTTCTTCACTCTAAGCAAGTTCAGGTTGAAGCCTACAAATGGTACCATCCACACTAAGGCAATCAGGACAATTCCCCAGGCCCATCTGAGCAACATAGCCAGTCCCTCATCCAGGTTCTCCCCCAATTGCTTCTAGGCTGTGACAAGTTGATATTTTAAAGTTAACTATCACAACCCCCTTTTTTTCTTTTCCATCATTTTTCATGAGACTGCCTTATTTGTAAAACACTACACCATCTGTCTGAATGTATAAGTCAGATCTTTTAACTAATACAGAGACAAGATAAATTATATAAAGTCACTGACGAGACTGGAAAGAAGGCTAAATGAGTAAGAGCACTTTCTGTGCAAGCATAAGGACCTAAATTAAAATTCCCAGCACTCATGTAAAAAGTTGGTCACGGCTATGTGTGCCTGTAACCCCAAGACTATCAGGGACAGAAATAAGAAATCAGTGGGGCTTGTAGACCTTCAGACTAGCTCCAGGCTAAGTGAGAGACCCTGTCTCAAAGGACACCTGATACTGCCCTCTGGCTTCTATATGAAAGCTGTGTTAAGTATCCTACACACACACATATGTACATATGCCACACATACACACACAAGCTACTGTAGCTCAAACCCTAATGGGTTCTAGCTATGCTAGAAATTCAACCTAGATTGTATTGCCTATACCTGGTTCTATAGGACCTCCCTCTTACACTTCTCCATGTCTGACAAATTCATTAGATAGCTGACAGCAGTTAAATGAAGTGCCCTCCTCCCCCCAAAAAAATCTTAAAATACCTATAAAACATTGAAAAAGGGATTGTCACATACCCAATGATGTGGAGAGGAAATCCCCAGAAACAGGGTGAAAGCCTTGCAGAACTATGGCAACAGCAATTAGGTACTCACAATTATCCCCCAAAATCACATGAAAACTTAAAGTCAAAGGAATGTAAGTCTAAAAATATCAAAATCATAGAACCAAGATTTTTTTTTGATTTAAGACAATAATCTAAGGAACAAAGCAAGAAAGGAAAAATAATTAAGTAGGCCATTTTAATTAAACCCACCAGAAAACCTGATTTTACAACCTCATCCATTCTATAAATAAGGCTTCATGTTAATAATTGAACCTCAACCATTCCCAGCTATGGGCTTTAGGGAGCACACTTTAACAGCCCACTTATAATGGCTATAAATTCCTCAGGTAAGACAAAATTAAATGGTCACCAACCACTCAATATGGAAGTTAATGACTCTCTCAAGTCTCATCTCATCTTTAAAACATTGCTGTCTTGACATTCTCTCATTTTAATATGACTTTGGAATCTTTGAAAACATCAGAGGGCCTCTCTCTGGGGACAGGGCTCATCAAAGATAACATGTGTTTGGAAGTCTCCGTGTTTCATCTGCATTCCTCTCCCATGGTTCTTGATGTGGATGCTTCACTAACACTCTTGTCTTGTCAAGACTTCAGTTGACAGAAGAGTAGATAACCATGATAAGTTAAGACTGAGAAAAAACAATTAAGGCCCCTGGGAAACAAGAACTCCCATATAATTGCCTCCACAGTCAATAGAGATGCCTGTAACCGGTACTCATATCCATGCCCATGCAAAACTTATACAACAGAACAAAATCCAGATATGGCCAGTAAGCAGAAGAGAAATTTGTTTTCCAGGTAGGCACTAGTATGAGTTGGGTGAGATAGCAATACACTGAGGTCTGGGCAATAGTCTTACTATGAACTTTGATGCTAAAAGAGAAATAAACCAATCCCAATCCTGCAGAGTGAGGGAGTGCTCCAGCTTGAGTGAGGGCTACATCATCACGGGCTGCGGTATCCATGGATTACATCATCACGGGCTGCAGTATCCATGGATTACATCATCACGGGCTACAGTATCCATGGATTACATCATCACGGGCTGCAGTATCCATGGATTACATCATCACGGGTTGCAGTATCCATGGATTACATCATCACGGGCTGCAGTATCTATGGATTACATCATCACGGGCTGCAGTATCCATGGTTTACATCATCACGGGCTGCAGCTCACCCTGGGCTACCAGAAACCCACAGCAGAAAAACAAATTCATTCCTCAGGCTGAGGGATCAGGGCTGAAATGTTGACCTCTCAGTGTCTGCCAAGCTTAAGTACTAAGCCAAGAAGCGTGTCATGTATAACAAGAGTCTGCACCTGCAGTGGGCTGGAGACCATCAAAATGCAGTTGCCTCCTGCCCACTGAACCTCTGAGGTGAAGAACAAAGAAGACTTATAGGTGTCTTATGTCCAGGAAAGACCATGATGAACTCACAGCTGCTTCTCCCTCAAACTCCACTCCACACAGCTCCTTCAAGCCAGGTGTGGTGGAACACCTCTTTAATCCCCGCACTAGCAGGCAGAGGCAGGTGGATATCTGAGTTCGAGGCCAGCATTGTCTACAGAGTGAGTTCTAGGACAGCCAAGGCTATGCAGAGAAACCCTGTCTTGAAAAACAAAACAAACAAACAAAAAGAAAAAGAAGAAACAAATGAGAAAGAGAGAAATATACCATTAAGTCAGTAGCTGATGTCTTTAGCATCTTAAGGGAACCCAATTATCCTTTTCATTTCACATGTTATTTAGTCAATTGTAAGGCGTGAGTTTTTACATTTTAATATGTCTTAAATTATGATTCATATAGTCATCAGCAATGCTCCACAACCACTGTCAGCCAGAGAGTTCATGGCAGACCACATGTGAACACACGTGGACTTGTGGCTTGTCTGGACGGCTACAGATGATAAAGGTTTCCATCTATACAGCATTGAAGGCTCACTTGGAGCAGCCTGATTTCCTGATTGTTATTTTCTGTAAAGACACAGAAAATGGCTACATTAAAACATGTGGGAAAGGTGAGAAAACACAAGACAGTAGGTGAAGAACATGAGGGGGCCTTCTTAGGGTGTGGCAGGAAACAGTGAATGTGGATAAAGATATGAAAAGCAGAAAAACCAAAACTCAGTACAAACGCAGTGCTAATTAATTTTGCTTGTGTCTTCCTTTCCATGGGCTGTACACAGTGATGTGTGTATATGTAATATCAAGCATTCTAAATACTGAAATAATTTAAATAAGCCTCTAATATCTAAATACATCTTGGAGGATACTTTCATAAAGTTTAAAATAAAATTTCTGCCGTTTTTTGAAACTTATACATTATATACATGTATCAAGTGCTCATGCTGAACCTGAAAAATAAATATAAATACATGTTAGTTAAAAGTTTCAAATAAGAAATTAAATTACACATGGCATAAGTAGCAGTGATATGTCACAATTTGTACAAAGTTGTTCTTTTTTGGTAACATACAAAATACAGTAGCTTAAATTTAAGAGAATTTTAAGCTTAATGAAATGCAACAGTATCCCCTTTTGTGAGGTCTATAATTTTATTTGAATCTCTCCAGCAGTCCTTTCTTCCAACTTACACCCCATTTTTCACTTTTCAAAAGACTGATGACCTCCCTAAAGTGACTCAGACACATGGCAGAGAAAGTTGGCACTGGCAACATCTATGCTTCTCTTCTTATTCCAGAGAATGGGACACAATGACAAACCCTGGCCTTTGTAATGACATGAACTCATGTGTACCAGTCACCACCGATGAATTCTGGTGGAACTGATGTATGCCACCTCCAATCACTTGCATAGTAATTTTAACTCAACCTTGTGACCCTCTTCCAAGTGGTCTAATGGTAACTCCCAGGGCAATTTTGAGGAGTCCCAGCTAACCATAGAAGACCCCCATGCATAACTGGCATCCTTGTCTGATTGGAACAAGATACCCCTAACTACCAATGCCTGCTATGCTCTGTTGCAATACAGGCTTTAATTGTGTTAATCCATTGAGATATGGCATGTTTTGTGTGTTGTCATAGTTGTTACGGTGGTTATCTTGCCCCCTTCTCTGGTGCTTCTTCTCCCAACCATTCATATTTACAACCCTTCTTTTTATCATGTAGATCTACACTTATGACACATGTTCAGAAGAATCATCCCTGGCCTTCCTAGCTCTCCAATCCCTCCCCCTACTTAATTAGCTACCTTATTAACTACCTGTCCTGAGTTGAAAGCAACACAGGTTCATGATATAACACTCAAGGCTTATTTGTTTTTTTATTTGCGATGAGATGCCTCCACAAGAAGTACTAAATTCTTTTGTCTATTGGTGTGCCCCTGTCCTCCTACCTATACCCAGTATAAATGAGAGTCTTCAAAAATGTTTCTTGAATGAATTAATGAGTCAGTCCGTGATAGAAGTGGATCAGGTGAAGTCTGTGTGCCAGGCACGTTAGGCAATTCTAAGCCACACACTGATTGAGTGGCATCCCAAAGCACTAAGCAATGGCAAAAATTAAACTGGCCCAGCTTTTCTGAGATTTCTTTTCCCAGAGTACCATTTATTCTTCTTGTACAAATTTGATGATGTTCTCACCATTGTTGCAGCACCAGGAAAGTAGAGGCAGGATGACTGAGTTCATGGCAAACCTAGGATACTGAAAGAGATCCCAGAGTGATCACTGGGAAACCAGCATGGAACTGGTCCAGACCCAGTGAATGTGGGTGTCAGTGAGGAGGCCTTGGAAATCTATGGGGCCTCTTGTAGTAGATCAGTACTTATCCCTAGCATAGGAATGGACTTTGGGATCCAATTTCACATAGAGGGGTACTCCCTGAGCCTAGACACTCAGGGGTGGGCCTAGGCCCTATCCCAAAGGATATGACAGACTCTGAAGACCACCTATGGAAGGCCTCACCCTCCCTGGGGAACAGAATTGGTTTGGGATAGGTAGGGTGTTATTGGGGGTAGGGGATCAAGGGAGGGAGAGGGAACTGGGATTGACATGTAAAGCAATCTTGTTTCTAACATAAATTTAAAAAATGGAGAAAAAAGAAAAAAAATTATGATGTTCTCATTAGAGAACCAAATTCAAGAAATACAAAGTTGATAAACTACTAAACATCATTTGTAAATCTTCAAACTCCACCAAAGGAAGACAGTTGACTGTGGGCCATCATGTCTTCTCATTCATCCTAAAATACACTCCAAGTTTGCTTCCCTGATGGAAAGAAATTGCCCCAATCTAGATGGCCACACTTGAGGTGCCCTCAGCTCCTACTCTAGCAATTGGGTAGCAGCATTTTCATCTGAATAAAGAAACACTCAAGACTTCGAGCAACTACCATGACTCTATTTACCTCCTTCCTCTGTCCCAAATGCCCAAAGTCCTCCTAACTCCAAGACACAACAAAGAAATAATTCTGAAATAAATGGCCCAGAGTCTTGACACTCCCAGAACTCTTAAGTGCAGAAATGAAATTTCAATCTTAGGGCTTATTTGACCTCCGCTATCATCTAGTGTTTTTGTTTCCAGGGCTGGGCCTGGGTTTAGGAAATATTCTGAAGTTGGTAAACACCCATTTTTGTGACTTTCTTTAGCCCTAGTTATGGGAGCCAGAGATCAGAACTGAGTGCCTCCTGCCTGCCCAGCCTCCAGGGTAGCATTGTATATACTAGGCCAACAGTCCCCACAATTGACTCCCAGAAGACAAATGGTATGAGTTAGACTCCTGCGAGTAGCTTTATGCTCAGGGAAATTATGGAATCCTTCATCAGCTGCATAGACCCCATAGATTCACATTGTCCAAGTACATATGAAACATTTGGGAAGCCCTTGGTTCTTTGTGTTGGAATCTCACAAGCCGAACAATGAATCTGAGGTTATTTTTTTCTTAATACTCATTAATATTCTACTGACTTACTGCTCCCTGAGAAACATGGCTCTAGATCCTTAAAATCCTACCCCCACCCCACTCCCAACCACCCCCAAGTAAACAGCGTGAACAATGAAATCAATCCACGCTCTGAAATCATTTACTCCCCTGATCCAATGCAGTGCAGCATTAGTGCCTCGTTCGCTGATGCAGCTCTGACCAGCGTCTGGTCCCCCTACTGCCCTTGAAGGCTCCAATCTCTCCTCTCCCTGGCATCTGTGCAGCTCCTTCAGCCAGGGCCAGCAGCACTTGTCTTTTAAGAGTCACGTAATGGCTGTGACCTGAGCTATCTGAAGTCCGTAATTCTCTCCTGGTGTTCCAACCTTTCACTCTAGATTCTAAATGTTCCCTGCCATTTAAATAATTGCCTAGTGAACTACAATTAATGAAATGATGGAAGAAGTTAGGATCACTAACAGGCCAGGACAGAAATCACTTGTGGCTCTCTAATCGATTCTAATTACCTCTGCTAATGAAATGAGAGGGAGGGGTCAAGATAATGCAAAGCCATCTTAGCCAGAACTTGCAGAACCTTTGTGAGTCAAACCCAGTGGCCCCATCTGCTCTCCCACTTGAGGGCTAAGGGCCATTGTGGGATTGACTGACCTGCAGGACCTCACCCATTCAACAATCAGAGCCAGCTGGTCTGAAAATGGCAGAAGCTGTAGATCAGACCAGATCAGGATGTGCCAACTGATCCATCTTTCAGGAAAATGCTAGAGATCTCTAGACAGAGACAAGGCCTCTATAGAATTGCCAGACAGAAACAAGAAATGGCTGCTGTCCTGAACAAGGTTTGCCTTTGGACAAAAGGCGTTAGCTATTTACCCATATTCTCTGGGACATGTCAAATTGGACAACAGACATAGCCTCCGAATTTTAGACCCTAGAATCAGAAAGAAGGAGAGACAGACAGAGAGAGAGACAGAGAGAGAGAGAGAGAGAGAGAGAGAGAGAGAGAGAGAGAGAACAGATCTTATGCTGTTCCTCAGTCTGTTTCTAATCTGTTTTGAGTCATTGTCCACCCTCAACTCCTTTAAGGGTTTGTGACTTGGCTGCCTTCCGGATGGCTGAGTCACACTATGATGGATTAGGTAATGGTGCCATCTTCCATACCCTTCAGAGGACACCCTCAGGCTGAAGCTAACAGTACAAGTTAGAAGCGTGAGGCCAGTGTACATCCAGTGCATAGTGGCTTTCAGAGAGACCCCATATATCTTAGTCAATTTTGCATTGTTATAACAGAATATAAGGAAGCCGGAAACTTATAAAGTAAACAATTATTTCCACAATGGTAGGACCTGGGAAGTCCAATGCCAAGATGCTGACACTGAGCAAGGGCTTTTTAGGACTTTGTGACAGCTAGGAAAGTGAGCACATACAGAACAGAGAACTTGCTTCATTAACAAAACCACTCTCACAGTAACTATCAAACTCTCAATCAAGCCAACTTGCTCTCATGATAAAGCTACTGATGTGTTCAGAATGGTGGAGCCCTTAAGACCTAATCCACTCTTAAAGTTCTCACCTCCCCATACCATCACAGTGCCAATAAGATTCAATAAGAACTTCGGGGACATTCAAAACCTAGCACCCTCTGAAACACAAGGAACAAAGACATGGGAGACCCAGCAACCCTTCAAGGAACTCTTTAATGTAAACTACTGGCCCCAAATGAAAGTAAATACCCAAAGTTTTAGTAGTCATTCTGTCATAATAAAGATAGATAGGAATAATTTTACTCACATTTTATCTAAAGCTTAATAAAATATTCCACAAGTCAGTCCTTTCCAGAGCTTACACAGGGAACTTTATTATTAAATAGGACAGTTTTCTTTTTCCTTGTGGGTGGTGCTGTGGACCAAGCCCAGCACTTCCTGTGCACTGGGCAAGCAATCCAGCTACCACTGCGCCAGCCCTTAAACATGATTGCTGCAGCCCAATGGTTCTCAGCCTTCCTGATGCTGCCATCCTTTAACACAGTTCCTCTTATTGCGGTGACCCCCCAACCATAAAATTATTTCATTGTTACCTCATAACTGCAATTTTGCTACTGTTATGAATCATAATGTAAATATCTGATATGTGATCCCTCCGTAGGGGTCACAACCCACAAGTTGAGAACCACTGTCATTATCAGGAGTTTCTAGTATGTCCTCTGCCCCTGTCACCAAAGCTAAGTAGATGAGGGGCCCAAACTTCTCAAGGTCGTTTCATGTCCTTGACTTTGCTCCTGCTCTCACTCCAGACTCCCTCATCTAGGGCAAAAAGAGATAATGGAGAAAACCCAAGAACTGGGAGATCTCTAACTGCAATCTCCTTTGGTTTGAAATTGATTAGAGAGAGCGAGAGCACATGCTGTTTTTAGGATATTTCTGGGGCTTACTTAAGCGCTGATGCAGATTGTGGTAGCTTTTTTAAAGAGATAAAATGTGACCGTTTGACTTAAGGGGGTGGGAGAACGTTTGCAGTAATATTCCAGAGAAACAGCAATTCGAGTTTTCTCTGGGTCAGCAGGGTGGGTGCCATTTTGTCTTCACCAGGGCAAGCACACAGGGTGATATCCATCTGTTGTCAAGACCCGATTTCTGAACGGAATTAGTCTGCAGACCAGCTCGGCCCTAACTAGGCTCCTCTGAGCACAGACATGAGGGTGATTCATCTTTTCAAAACAGAGTATGACTGGGGGAAATGTTGCATTGCTGTAATTTCACTTGGGCTGGGGGAGGGGTGTGCATCCCTGCTATTCCTGAATGAGCTCCTCATTCAGCCAAGAGTCTGGTGTGAGCAGAAGGGCAGTGAATAGTCAGTGTGCTTTAGAAACAGCTGCCTCGATCACTGATTACAGTCAGCAAATCTTGCTATGTCCGGGCCTGCCTGGGGCTGCAACCTGAGATGCAAAGACATTTCCCAGGCAGGTGGGACTTCAACAATCAGCAGGAAGCCAGAAAACGTTAGAAATTCAAGTCCCCAGGTGGCCCAAACTCATCACATAGCATAAATTGGTCTCTTTCCTGTGTCAGAAGAGTCAGACACCTGGGAAAACCCAATTATTCTTCATTGTCATCAGCATCATCGATGTCACAGCATCATGCAAGGGCATTAATCAAACTTGCACTGCATTCAGAGCAGTACCTAGTGTTGAACAACACTAGGAAGAAATCTCTCCCCCTCTAAGTTTCTCACTGGCAATATGTGGTGTGTGTGTGTGTGTGTGTGTGTGTGTGTGTGTGTGTGTGTGTGTGTGTTATGAGTGTGTGTGGAGACCAGAGGCCAATCCCAGGTATCATTCCTTGAACCTCATCTAGCTTGTTTTCTGAG